CTTGAGGACTCCCACTTTCCTCTTTATTGATGATCCTTCGTACACATCAACTTCAATTCCGGCATCTGGATCATCCTCATCAACCTCTTCCTCGTTAGCTTCGGCATCACCGTGTCGACGTGGGACTGACCCAACGCCTACAGGTATTTCCTCAGCTACGGGAGGCGGACGTACCGGACCGGCTCCTCCGGGTGGTCCGAAGTCGAACGCACCATCATGGTGTTCGCCCTCGACCTCTGCGGATTCACCGACAGCGGCGGGTGTGACCTCATTGTCTTCGTCGCCATCCTGATCTGCCGCATCGTTTGTCACCATTGCCAATACTTCCGAAAAGTGCTCCTTGAGGTCGTCTATCGTAGGGCGATGCCTGTTACTCCGAAGCTTACCATCACTCACGAGGTATGGGATGTCGTCCTTGACCTGCAAGTGCACGAATCCCTGCTTTGGTGTAACCATGAAAGGTAGTTTACCAGGCATCCAATGAAATGCATAACCCATCTTCATGCATCTCCTCCCTACTGACAACACTGTGGGTGTCTCATCCAACACGTGCGGCTCGACAGTCTCGTCCAACTCGTCCACGACTATCTTGGCCACGTCGGATGTGGAAGTGGAACCATTCGCGGTCTGGAACACAATCTCGTCATCATCTTTCACGATGTCGACACCCAGGCTCTTTGCCTTGGCTCGTCCGATGAGATCATGGCCACATCCAGTGTCCATCAACCACTTTACCCGTTTGCTGATGCACGTTGACATGGCGAAAACGTTCTTCGGCAAACCATGCTGTTTCTTCCAGTCAACGGCCGACTCTCTGATCTCGTCCTTGTTCTGATCATATTCAAACATTATGCTGCTCTCCTTGGTCACTGGGAAGTAGTGTTTCTTGTATATGTCATCTACCACCTCTCTCAGTATTTCGCTCTTATCAATGATCGTTGGACTTGATAGGCTGATAATTCTCGATGATCACTGCTCTTGAACTTCTTCTCGTCGACGTACACGTACTGATAAGGCTCATTCTCATTGTCCTCATAGCCGTACCATTCCCCTTTTCGTTCCCATTGCCTTCTCTCGTCTTCGAGATAGGTGATCTCTCCATTCTCGTCGACATCGAGTACTTCCTTGAACCATACCATTTTCTCGGGGATCTCGGACTCGCCAGACCATCTTGATGATTCGCTCATCGCGTCGTCATCATGCTCGTGGTAGACAGTCTCGGCTTCATCCGGTTCGACCTGGTCAACGTCCTTCTTGAAGCTGACCTTTCCCGCAGGAGCCGATTGCTTCAGGACTATCGCAGGCATCGCGATGGCCCTTCTTGCAATAGCTGGCGCTGCGGCCTTGGCGGCAGCCTTCGACTTGGCTTGTGCCTTGTCGCTTGACGTTGCCGGAGCTGAATTGTTCTTGATGAGCTCGTGCCTATACTTGCAAGCACTCCCTCTGTCGCACTTTCCCTTCTGAAACGCGAAGCATGCTCCATCATCCCTCTTTGGTGACGATGATCTGGATTTGGACTTACCTTTTCCTTTCCCTTTGGACATGTTCTCCAGCTTGTGCTCCGTTTTCTTGCTGTGGGAAAATGTGCATTCATTTCCTTTTACGCATCCCTTCGCCGACTTGAAGTGATACCAACATGGGTTATCTTTACCTCCGCCCGGACTCTTGCCTCTGTCGCTGGCACCGTCGGACTTGCCGTTCTTGCCAGCGTGACCCTTTGCTTTGGCCTTTGGGAGTACAGGAGCAGCATCAGGTCCACTGGGTTTCCCCTTTCTGCCTTTGCCACCCTGGTTCTCCTGTTTGCCAGTGGCTGGGGCTGCATCTCTGCCGCCCGACTTCATCATCGACTTGACCGATCTCTCCTTCATGTCAAGCATCAGGTCCTCCCGATCCGCCTTGATCTGATGGTCGATCAATGCCAACAAGAATTCGTACGTCTTTTGAGGATGCTTGTCCGGCAACCTATGGTAGGCATTGAGGCCGAACTCCATCTTCTTGCTCCCTTTGATCTTCCTGTAGAGAATATCTCTGAGAGCCAACTTGCTGGGTCTGTCTTCGCTCCTCATCTTTAGCAACAAATCATACCATTTGTTCCTGAATATAACCAAATTCTTGTCTCCAGGAAAGTCAAGGTTGAATAGGTGCTCGATGTGGTAGACAAGATCCGTTCTATCAGATGTTCTGAATGATTGCATAACCAATGCCACCAACTCTCGTCCCTTCACGATCACCCCTTGTTGATGTCGTAGTTCCGAGTGTCGTGTAGCGTCGAGGTACACGTCTTTGGCTTCGTCAGGTGCTTGTTTCAACATGTTCTGCATGCCCAAGGCCATCTTGATATCGATCGTAGCAAATCTGTCGCCGCCTGAATCGCTCAGCATATTCAGATCTGGGTTTAACCCAAGAGCTTGTTCCAACCATTTCGTCCATGTGTCAGTATCTGGATCTGCGCATGCGCTCAGAACATTCATCAGCAGTTGCATCTTCCAGTTGTCGAGTTGATGTATCTTTGGCCAAGCAGGAATAGACACCCTCTCGGCTTCTTTCCTCGAAATCCTCGGTCTTTCGTTCTTGATTTCTCGATCATCCCTCGATCTTCTGCGCCTCCTCCGTGTCCGATTGTCATCTTCTTCCTCTTCTTCTTCCTCGTCCTCTTCATCCTCTTCGTCGTCGTCATCCTCGTCCTCATCATCGGGTGGGTCATCCGGAGGTCCTCCCCCGCCACCTGTGAGGCTCAACTGACGTCGACCTGCCCCTTGTCCATTTCCATTGGGCGAGAATTCACCGTAATCCAATGGGGGTGTAGTACCGTTGTTTCCCCCTCCATCACCACCACCAGTTGTAGTAGCGGATTGTGGGACATGTCCAACAACCCCTTGCATCTGGGATAGGTGTACATCGATCATTGGATCACCAAAAGACGGAAAGAGAATCGAACCTGGCATTAGTGACGAATTAGGGGTCATATTCGACGACGATGACGGGACTAACCCAGTCACCCTCTTGTCTACCCTAGTTGAATTAGCTTGGGGTCCTCCCTCAGTGCGTTTCACTACTGCTCGTTCACGATGTCCATCCTTACTGCTAGAGGCTTCCTGTGTCTCCAGCTTCTTGAGTGCACGTAGTTCCTCATTGTCAGCATCAAGTTGACGAACGAAACTCTCTTCTTGCTTGAGCGTCGCCTCTCGATCCTTCAGTTGTCCCTGAAGTTCATGCATCTCCTCGAGGTACTCATCATACACTCCCTTAGCTGTCAATCTCCAGTACTCGGCCTCCTTCGACTTCTCGTCCATCGTGCACCGTTCTTCTTGTTTTGCTTCTTTGACCTGGGCTAACTCCAAGATCGCATCTTGACGATGACCACCCTCGATAGCAATCATCTGGTCCTTCATCGACACGTCGGATTCATACTGTTTGACGATCTCTTCCTTCTCGCGAAGTAAGCAATCTGCTCTCTTTGATTCTTGTTCCGCGAATATTGTAACGTCGTTCAGTCTCGCCATCAGCTGTTCCCTGGAGTCCTCCATAGAGTACGTCTCGGGGCGTTTGACGAGTGCGTGCTCCAACTGTGATTTCAACTTTGGACCATCTCCTCCTCGTTGAACTTCTCGATAGATGTTGACGATTCGATGCCTCTGATCTGTTGCTGATAAACTGATATTTGTTGCGAAGCTTCACGGTGTATCTGATTTGCATGTATAGCTGATTCCTGCGCGGCCGACTTCTCGCTTGCCATGTAGGATTTCATCACTGCAATCTCCCGCTTCTGCTCCATGATAGTTCCTTCAGCTTGTCTCATCTGTTGCATTATAACATTCGACTCCATGTCTTTCTTTTCCCCGTACTGATATGCGTTCATTTCCACCTTGCGCATCTGTTGGGCTTCCTCCTCAAACTTGCGCCATGCCTCAGCCATGTGGTGTTGGTGGTGACTCACTAGATGTCCCGACTGCTTGCTGGCAATCTCGCATCGTCTTTCCAGCTCCTGGATCCGGATGGTGCTCCCATAGTCTTCTTGATGAAGATTCGCCATCGCTGCCGACATTTCATCAAGTGTCTTTTGATATTCCCCGATCTCCATCTCCATCTTGTTCTTTTCCTTAATCGCGGCGCGAAACTCTGCACTGGTGGGTGATTTTGACCTCCCACCTTTTGATGTTGACCTCACGCCCTTCTGCGACGTCCGTGGTGTCGCAGGCGAAGATGACGATCTTCTTGGCGGGGACTCTCTTTGCTTCAACTCCTGATGAACATCGATCTGCTTCCATGATCTTGTGGGAGTGGATATGTCGCTGAATAGCGCGGATCCTCCGCTCCCAGGTTCATCCTGTGAATCTGCGATCATATCCATCACCGCAGGAAGAGCCATTAATCCATTGGATCCCTCTGAGCTGCTGTTCCCAAAAGTTGCAGTACTTGGGCTCGCTGAAGATGCCATTGTACTGTGTAGGTTATTGTTCCTTTATTGTCCCTGTACCCGCAATAAACCAGCTGTCTCCCTGTCCAGTGTAGAGCTTGTCGTTACGGCTGATAACCTGTCAAGAGACGGCAAGGTGACGTCCCGTGGGACGCTGTGCACCGAACCCTCCAGCTGTAATACCAACCACGTAGAAAGGTGTATACGGTCAAAGCCGTTATAGCCGAACCCGTGTAAACGTTGTAAGGGAGAAGGAATAATAGTTACAACAGTGGTCCTGACAAATGCAGCGCAAGCGAAGTGTTTTCCGCTCTCAATGCCGATCACGTACGAACGCAGCTACACATAAGATCTTGAACCTTGATCGTGTCTTGAGCCAAAATGGCAATCAATGGAACTTGGTAAACAACACAAACACGGACCTCAGAACTGCTTCCCAATTTAGGCACGGGGCCTGGAGGGTTTTAACATATCTTGTGGTGTTTCCCCTGACAACCATCCTTTTTTGGTTTTCCCACCGTGTCTCCCCAAACCATCCCACTGATAGCCTCAAAAAAAACCGAGCCGACGAGCACCGTCTCGCCTGCGTAGACGTCTGCTTTCAGTCTGTGAAGGCGGATGGAGAAACTGACGGCGACCCCGAAGTTGCCGCCCCCACCTGAAGCGACCCATCACGGGGCCACACAAAAATGTGAATGAACCCAAATCAGAGAAACCCAAAAGGTGAAAAGGGTGTCTGCCGTCAGGAATCCGACCCCCCCTCAAAAAAAAGGAGGGCGAAGGCGGTTTGCCTTTTGATTCCTTGTAAAACTCACCCAAAGGGTGGGTCCACTTTGGTTTGGCCACCGCGCACGGCCCAGAAGAGCTCCGCGTTTTCGGTTTCGCTGGCGCGAATTAGTTGGCCGTTGGCGATTACCAGCTCGATCTCCAGCAGGTTATCTACCACCAGGCCGAAGATCCGCTCGAGGAAGCCGTGCCCTCCTGTATCGTGTGTGTATAAAAACGTTGGGTTGGGATTATGCAAGTTGGGCTTCATAGTTGACATCAAGATAAATGGAGGGAATGCACAACAAAAGCAACACGGGCAAAGGCATCGTGGGCGAAAGGCTTGCGTGCGACAACCCCGACAACTCCTATAACTTTCATTTGGCGCGATTGCCCCAACTGCAAACCATGCTGCCTTTGGGGTGAAATGAACCAAAATCCACGGACTTGCGCAAGACGAGTCCGCGGACCTGCCTTGGAGGATGAGTCCCCCGCAGCCTGTGGACGCATTGTGACCTGCAGTGGTTGCCAGGTCATGCGGCTCGCACGCCAAGTCCAAGTCCTCAGACCAAATCGCAAGGACGATGGACAGGTCGAAACATAAAACCAAAGTAACTACCTCGCTTCGAGCAATCCCCACCCTCCACACTCACGAGCTTACGACCGTGAACACGGTTGTGTGAATTCAAGCATGGTTTTCGAGTGGCTTGGGGCCTATGACTGCTCAACAAGCTTTGCGTTGACAGCCTTATACACCTGTCTGTGTGTCAAACTCCACTTGTCTGCGAACCGATTTCGAGAACTCAAACATCAGTTCCGTTAACAAAAGCCAAGCCCCTTCCAAAAAGAAACCCAACGGGGGATTAAACAAAGTTGCTTATTCACAACCCAAAGCAACACAAAAGCATCACCCTTTCCGAGCCCCAGGTCAAAACACGAAGGCACCAACATGAAATGCAAACCCAACTGTGCGCCGGGACATTAAGCAAAACCAGACTAGCGGGATACTGGCGGGATCCACTGGCGAGCCGCTCCGGCTTGATACTGGCCGGATCTTCGGCAGGATTCACCGGCAAAGGATACTCAGCAGGATACTCGGCGGGGATCCACTGGCGAGCTACTCTGGGATACTCAGCGGGATACTCGGCGGGATCCACTAGCGGGCTGCTCTGGTGGGGTACTCGGCGGGATCCACTGGCGAGCTACTCTGGCGGGATACTCGGCGGGATCCACTGGCGAGCTACTCTGGGACACTCAGCGGGATACTCGGCGGGATCCACTGAGCATGGCGGGCCGCTCTGGCGGGATACTCGGGCGAGCGCTCTGGCGGGAGTCTCGGCGGGATCCACTGGCGAGCCGCTCTGGCGGGATACTCGGCGGGATCCACTGGCGAGCAGCTCTGCCGGGATACTTGGCGGGACGGGATCCACTCGCGAGCAGCTCTGGCGGGATACTCGGCGGGAGCGGGATACTCGGCGGGAGCGGGATACTCGGCGGGATACTTGGTGGGATCCACTGGCGAGCTGCTCTAGCGGGATACCGGGTGGGGGCGTTGTGTAGAAGCATCGCAAACAGGGCCTCCAACATAAAATCCAACAACCCCTTCCTGTCAGGTGGGGAATAATTACCCTCCCACCGACGATTCCATGGTTTGGTGCATCCTCTTGGACAGGGGCTGACACTTCCATGTTAGGCGGAAGGGTAAAAGGAGTTGAGAACCGGACAAAAAAAGAAACAAAAACACGAAACCCCTTTCCCAAACGACGATGGCCCAAACCGGACAACCAAAAGACGTCAAATCCGGTGGATTCGCTTCCGAGACTCTCCTTGCTGGGCCCCTCCGCCCACCTTAGCAAGCATCTGCTCTGGGAAGACCTCAACAGAGCTGATGCGCTGCAAATCCAAGACCAATGCGTCGTCCAGCATGCACCTCAGATTTGTCCAACATGATCGAAGCAAATCAATTGGCGTTCCAGGTTGGAACCAAGCATTTACGGTCGACACATAACCATCTATCAAGGCACACATGAGAGTGCCGTCCGCTGGCAACGCAAAGCCTTGTTCCGTTGGGATGGCAATGCTTTCCAGCATAGCTCACCACAGCCTGGACCTCTTCAACGCTGTCCACGGTGGCGATGGCACTTGGGAAACCCACATCGTCATTGTTCCATGTCATCCTAAAAGGCCCATTCCAGGCAACATCTTCCATACCGGACTGGCCGCGGGCCTTGTGGTAATAGATATCCAATGGTGTCTGAAGTCTATCTCCGAGCAACTTTCTCAGCTCATTCTCCGGGCCGGGCAAAGGCTTGACATTGGCCATTTTTAGCGCCCACTCATCCTCCCTCGGCTTCTCCCTGCTGGCGCAACAAGGAGCTTTGGCGCCCATTGCTTCAAAGGTGGCTAATTAGCCCTCGCGTGCAACCACCACTGGCTTCAGCCAAAGCGGCTGACGCATAGGCAATTGAAATCCCAAACGCCACGCCACACACACACACACACGTGCACTATTTCATCTGAAAGCATTGCGAAAGGTTCTACCGAACAGATTGCAGCTGTATGAAGCCAGCTTGCATCGATGCAACTTGCCCGGATCCAATGCAACTTGCACTCCCCTCGACAGCCCCGAAGCGGAGAGATGGCCTCCAGCCTGGTTTTTCAGGCGCCAAGTTGGTCGTCAGGAGCTGATTCCCTCATCTGGAATGGCATGTTTCATATTTGTTTGTTTGCGATTGGTTCCCTGTAAGACAAGCCCAAAAAGGGTACCCCCAAAAAGCACAGACCCCGTTTCCGAACCCAGTCCTTGCCATCTTGGCTGTAGTAGAGATCTGACAGCTCAGGCCAGCCTGCGATGAGCACCAGGTAGTCGCCTACGGTCACCTCGGACGGCTGCACAGGGCCGTGTTTTTGGAGAAAATCATGATTTTGGAACATATTGGGTGTGTCGTTCTTTAGGAGACTCACCCAAAGTGGTGACCTTCCTTTTGCTTTGCCTCCTAATACCCGAAACAAAAGGTATCCTCGAAAAAGAAAAAACAACTCATATATTTAATCAGAACCACATGAACAAATGATATGAGAGGTAACTTCATTGAGAAACGTTGGTTCCTCCTGGAACATGAAAGTTGAACCAACGGGAAACCAATGGAAACCAACCTATTCCCTCTAATTCTGGATTTAGTGAAGCATAAGAGGAAATTCATGGTTTCCGACTCAGAAAGGCAAACCACACCTGGCAAACAAAATCGCCGCGCCCTGTTGACCTCTTCAACATGATTCTAAAAGAAGGGACTCTTTTTGCACGGAATTTCACGTCCAACTCACCCCCAAGTTTCCAATGTTGAGACAACATTGGGCTAGTCCAAAGACCCGATCAGGGTAGAGAAATGGTCCCCAGCGAAGGACAAAAGGACCCACAATGGGAAAGTCGGATGAATACACCCCTGGTTGATGGAGGGGGTCCTTTTAGTGGGAATCCTTTACCTTTGTGGGCGACCCCCCCCACCCCACCTCTAAATCGGATGCAGTTTCTCGATTTGGGGTTCCTGTTGCCAAGTCTCTGCGGTGGATTTCCATGGAAAAAGAAGCAAACATGGAAACCACATAACAACTAGCAGCTTTCCGCTTTGACAACCCTCAAATCAATATGTAAATTACTCTAACTATATTAGAACGCGTGACAACAGGAAACCAACAACGGCTACCCCAAAACGGACACAACAGGCTCAACAAAGGGCCCAACACACTCACCAAACGAGCGAGCCCAACTCCCCACAGATAGATATCTGGGTTTTGTCTGGGTCCACTGCAGGTCTGGAATTCTCTACGCAACATGGGGTCGCTCTTTGGTCCATTAGTTTCCCTTCCCGGCCACCCAAAAACCACGCACCCCCTCACGCCAGCGCACCACTCCATGGCCGCTGCGCGCGGAAAAGGCCGGGGCCGGGGTCAGCTGCGCCCAGGTCTTGCCGTCGTCCTTGGAGGACCAAACGTCCCCCAGCTGCGTCTTGGTGGTGAAACCCACCTGAACTGCTCCAGGCTTACGCGGCCACAGAACAAAAAATGCCAAGCCAAGGGTAGATTTGGTAGATTCTATTGGTGTCAGTTTTGTTCAGAAGGCAGGGTTGCGGGTTGCGGCCCAAAACACATCTGTCTCTAAATCGTTGGAAAGGGAGATGCATGAACACCCAACAGGACAAAAAGCGAAACCGGCAAGTTACAGTCTGGCAATGGGGGAACGATTTTAACAAATTCTATCCCTCAGAAACCTCACTGGACTTCCATTTGCTCAAGGGCCTGGAAAACATTAAGACATATGTCCAGTAGTGATAGATTCTCCTTAAAGCCACAAAGTTTGCTAAAAGCCCAAGGAAAATGTCCAAAAGACATAAATGCTCTTTAAAATCACGCAGGGAGAACAAAAAGCCTTCAGCAAATGAGTCACAATCAAAACCCGGTACAAAAATGGTCGACCCAGAACCATGTAAGCCGCAGCTATTTATGGCTGGGATCGTCCCTTACGAACCTTCACTTAGCCGGGTTTTGATTGTGGCTCAAATGAGCGTGGAGGGTTTGTGAGGTCGGTTCCAACAGGCCTCCCCGGCGATGATGTAAAGATCCTCCTTGAAGGACACCAACCGCGGACCACTGCGGCCCTTCCATCCTGGGTGGATGAAATGGAATCCGCGAATCTGTGATGCAACAAAACGGGGCAATTTGTGGTTTTCTTTCAGGGCATTCCCAGGTTCATTCCCTCATTCCAAACGGAGCACCAGCAAGTTCTGTGATACAACGATGGCCTAACCCCAAAGACCAATTCAACACCCTTTTTTGAAAAGAAGGGATTCCCTTCTTGTATCACAGTGGTTGGATCAAGCCCGAGTGATCCCAGACTCCTGGATTGCTGGTCACGAGCTCCCAATGCTCTCCGTCGCTCGAGGACCAAACGTCGCTGTAGAACTTCCGGAAGAGTCCTGCAAGATTTTTCCCAGCAACCACTGACCCCAAAGGTCGAGCATGGGCCTGCTTATTTGTGGGTTGACCTGGGGTTACCTGTTTCAGTGGAAAGAGTTGGGACCACTCTGGGGTTTTTATCCGTATGGGGAAGCCCCCACAGACAGATCAAGGCCACAACTGAACTGTGATTGGCCGGCGTGCCAATCAAAAAAGCCTCAGCTTAGAGAATAGTTTTACAAAAACATATGGCAAGAAATCAAATTGTGCAAGAAGCTCAAAGACACACACGCCGGTGTATGTTTTTGAGGGCACCTTTTTTTGCGTAGAGTCTTGCAGGGGAACTGCAAGGAACATCAACAACTCTCGGTTGATCTTCCCCCTGAGCGCAATATCACCATTCGTAGGCTTAATTCGCCAAAGCCAAACTTGCTTCCAAAAGTTTGGCTTCTTATCCGTGCCATCCGGTCACACCAAAGACCAACAACATCAGCGATTCCCTACGTTTCTTCCTTTTAGGTGACTTTTTTTGAGGGGGGCGGCCGCAACAATCATTTGCAGGTTCATCAAAAGTAGGGGCCCTTTTTGGTATGCCCTTTTTAAAACTCCCATAGTTTTGCCCAACACCCCACGTTTTTTTTTCCCCCCCCTTTCAACTTTCCAATAGTTTTCACCGCACCCCTCGTTTTTTTGGTTCGCCCTGTGAACTTCTCCCCTAGTCAAACGACCACAGCCCACAGGTCTGTCACCCCCGTTTGGGGCCCGAGTCCAGGGTCGTACTTCACATCATCATGGCACCCGCCCGCCACGAAGAGCTTCTTCTTGTGCAGCGTACCCCCGAGCCCGGCCCTGGCTGGCCAGGCCGCCTGCTTCGTCACCAGCGACCTTCGGATCGGACGGGAAAACCTCAAGAAAAACGACTGGCTGAGCGTGGACCTTTTGGATTTGGGGGGGCAGCGCGCCTTTCAAAGGGAAAAATCCGTCACCAGGACTGTTCAGTCAGGAATTCCATGGATGGGAGGGGAACTGGCCGGTTTCGTGGCTTGGACCTGGGATTTTTTGTGTTGCAAAGCCACCAATTCGAGGGGATCCTGAAATCCGTGGCAGGAAAAACCTGCCGGGTCAGACCAAGATGCGATTCCCAGCCCTGTGACTACTTTGTCGAACCTTCAACTGTGGTCACTTGGTAGCACAGGACATGGCAACCTAAAACCACTTTTCCACAACCATGGCCCGACCTGCAAAAGGTTGCCTTCCCAACAAGCATGGCACCTGATTCGGAGTCCAATCCAGACAGGCTATCCAAGGTTCCATGCTGGCGAGGGTAGCCGTTTAAGCATGAGGGACCTTTGGGCCGAAAACATAAAATTGCAACTGCGAAACTCTGCGAACAATGAACATCTCGCGGATTTCCATGCGGGAAAAAGTGCACTCTTTTTTTTGGCAGTTGAATTTTAAAAGGGACACCTCATAAAAAGTCAAAAAGAAACCTGTTGGAGGTCTGGGGAAGACTGGGACCCCGCCAGCCACAGCGCGGCAAAAAGTCTCTCCGCGGGACCAGCTGTCCGCGCCGTCGCAGCTCTTCCACACGTCGTTGAAGAACCTCACGAGATTTGGGCGTCGGCGCAAAACACAAGGCACACACGTGGTCCCTGGAAAGCAACGCAAACCAATATGACATCTTCCTTTGCACCTCTACAGAAATTGGGTGAAAGTACATCTAATTACTTCGCTGGTGTTCTGGAGAGCACGGTATCTGACAATGCTTCCAATGTCCAACTGCATGCTGCGATTGCTGACAACGTATGAATCGTGGTGAGAAGCATCCACAGCAGATGTGTGATACAAATTGATACAAACAAAGTGACATCCCAGTTGAACAAGGCCACACATGATATGCAAGGTCAGATATGTGCTGCTTGGCCTTCTCCCAAAGACCACTCGAATACCAGTAGCTCTCCCGCTCTGGGTGTGCTATAAGGGTCGAACACAAAAATAGACAGGGGCAGGGCATCTTAAAACACATCTTGGTCATCATGGAAGCTGTATGTGATTGATCCGCCACTGATTACACTGCCCCAAAGGACAGGCAAGTCTTCCAAGGGTCCGTGCACTTCCAAGACTGGATCAGGCCTCGGAAAGGCAACGCACGACTACACGTCATGATAAAATTTTCCATGATGTTGTATATCCTTGAACTTGATACAACCAGGGCATTGTGAAAACACAACACCTAGCATACACAGTGTCAGTGTTTCACTTTCCCACCAGCTGGAAAACCATATTATAAATTAAGATCTCTTTCAGCAAACACCAAACACTGGCTGCCATGCTTCAAACACCAACCCCCCAAACGCTGGCTGTCATTTTTGCAGATACCAACCCAAACCTGCGGTGGCTATGGAGAAACACGGGCACGCTGTTTTGGGGGCAGGTCAGCTTTAAGGGCCTCCAAAAACAGAACAACATCCACTGCCCTGGCGCATTAGAAGCAAAGGCGCGTGGAAAAGGTCTGGCCGCCCATCAGGAAGATGCAGCCGTCGTCATTTTCCTTGGTTCATTCAACTATTGACCTAGGATTCAGCCAAATCGAGCAATCACATATTTGCTTTGCTCATGTTGGTCAAGAGATGTACTTGCTCCGTTGCAATCTCTTTTGGGAGCTATTGAACCTTGGGAGGTGTCTGCAATTCTTACAATCTTTGCAAAACCTGAAAATCAGACATCCGTACTATACTTCGCCAGAGCGATGTCAAACGGTGCCAAACCTTGGCCCAGCTTCGATCAGAATGTGGTAGGAGCGGCCGCCCCACTCCGCCTCCGGAGCCTTGGTCCAGGTCGATCCGTCCGCAGAGCGCCACACGTCCTGGCTCAAAAGGAGCCTCTCTGCTTTTCGAGCCCAAAAAACACACTTTGTTCTTTGGGTGTGAATTTGAATGGGTTCTTTTTGGCCCCGACATGGTGGACGTCCAAAAATTCGGCGGGGAATGGGTGAAATTGAATGGGTCCAAAAGGACCCGAAATGGCGGACACGCGCCCGCGCACACGCACACACACACACAAGTTTTACAGCGAGCACGTCCTTTCCCGATGCGAAGCCCACACCCGCAGTGGTGCGGCCACCGGTGAGGATCAGCTGGTCCTCCAAAAATCGAATGGGGCCCACCATGATTCCGGTTCCCTGCATGTGTATGCGTGTGTGTGTTTTGAGGGTCCTGGAGCCTCTAGCTACCCTTGAAAACGGAGTAAACTTCCACATAATTATGAGGGGGGTTCCCCTTTTTAAAGGGTAGTCTGAGAAGCCAGGTACACATACCATTATCAGGTTGTTGGAAAGGGAAACCAAAACGCAAACCAACTATTCTGAGGGCCCCCTATTTTGACACACACCCAGACACAGTAATCGGTGACGGGAATTTGGTTTTACCATCAGAGCCACCCAAGTGGAAGGTAAGCGGAACAACCCCGGTCCCTGACACCTCAGAAACAGCTGAACCAATGACTCCGGGAGTTCCATGTTAGGGGGCCTTCACATCAAACACCCCTGAATAATCCACGGGTTTGATTCATCCGGGCTTGATATTCTGTGTCTGAAAACGGGGAAGTACAAAATGGTGGATTTTCTTTTTTGGCTTTTTTGTTTGAAACCCCCAAAAAGAGGGCACCCTCCAAACCTCCCGGATCGCCGGCTCCTTGACGCTGGCCACCATCAGCCCCTCGCGAGCGCCCCAGGGGCCCTCTGCCAGCTTGCTCCATGGGCTCTCCAGCGCCTCGGAACGACCCCAAGCCACTTGGGCCAAAAACAACAAAAACATCCAAAAAAAAGGACCATCCTCGTGTGTTGCTCGCCCCCCGAACCAGGGAACACCTCGATCACCTGTAGGCTTGTTGTAGGCTGCCAAGATGTCCAAGCCACACATGTGACCACACTCCAGGGACTCAGGAAGTGAGACATTCAAGCGGACAACAGGCCTTTGGAAGATGAACATCTTCCAAAGCGTCCCTGTCCACTTCCATGCTTGTTGCAACAAACATACGTTTCCCCTTCAAGCACCACACCAACACGCACCTCACCTCGCCCTCCCAACCGGCGAATCGGACTCCCAAGCGCCTCTGGTAGGCTCTTGGCGGCGGCTCCGACGACGAAGGCCAGAAGCAGAGAGCCCGCCATGGCAGTGAGGCAATTTGAAGGTGGAATGTGGAACCGGCAATTCTGGTCTCAGGGAGGGGGTGCCATGACAATGCTCCAACTGGCTTTCCAACCACCAAGGAAGAACCATGAAAAACCCGAATCAGGCAGCGTGTCGGATCTTCCAAGTCTGCGCATGGCAATCCATCTCTCAGATCTCGACGTATGCGCGTGGCGCGTGCAACGCAATCAAGGAATGAGAGCAAGGGACATCCCTATGTTTTGGCGTGAGTTTGACCAGCCCCCGCATGGATGTCCCTATCATCCTAAATCAAGTTGAAAAAAAAACAAAAAACGCCGCAGCGTTGGGTAATTCCCCAGAGCCTCTCTACCTCTGAACCTGCCGCAATGGGACTTCCCCGCATCCGGAAGCCTCCTGGATGCTGTGCAGCCCCAAACCCTAGCGTTTAACTTGGCGAAAACAAACAAGAGTCAGTCAGAACTTGAAGCCAGAGTCCTGACGGTCAAGCGAAACGCGTTCTTAAAAAACAAAAAAAAACAACTTTTCATTTTTCTTGCATTGATGCGTTGCTCTCCAGGTCGTTCACTTTTTCATCGCCATGGCGTTCACGCCACCAGAGCTTTCCGCCGCTCACTTGAAGCTCTTCCGCTTGCATGTGCCATCCTCAGCATGTTTTTTCGCCAGGTGCCCGCGGCGTTTGGGCGAACTTTGGGACTGGACACCTGTGGCACGCTTGACCGTCCGCTCAGGGAAGCGAGCAACCCAGAAGCTGTGCATGGCGATGGTTGAACAAAACACACCCATGGAATTGCCTTTTCGAGACGTGGCGCCTTCAGAATCGCCGCAAGGGTTTTCCAGATGCCGCCCTTTGAAAGTCTCGCTTCGTACACCAGCAACATTGTGCTCCCCAACCAGAAGTAAAGTCCAACTGGGGAGGTGAGAAGCAGCGGTTGGCACCCACAAAATGATTCCTGGGTGTTAATCCTCCATGGAACCTGACTGGAGGCGCTGGAAAACCATCTTCCTCAAGCCTTCTGGTGCATCATTTCTCTTTGTATGTTCGGTCTACTGTAGATTTGCTTTGAAGCCAGACTGGGGAACCGTTTCGTGTTCTGCTGTAGAGCCCCTCCCAAATTTGTGACTTTTGGTAGAAAAAACAACTTCCCCCCCCACCACGCAGGTTTTCAGAACCTTTTCTGGGTCTGATTTGGTTTCCTAAAATTGCCGCTGTGGGTTCCACTTTGTTCCTCTCAACCTCCAAACCTGGTGGACCTTCAGCCCACACCACGAACTTGCTTTCGTCCCAAACTGGCATTGTACAAACAATCATCATGTAAGCAACACCTTCATCACTCCGAACACCTTCTCACAAGCCCAGAAACCGTTGGCTCCAAAAGCAAAACCAGGGGACCCCACCCCCATTCTTGCCCCGTGGCTTCGTTTCGCGCCAGAACACCGAACTCTGGGATCCCCACCAGGCGCCTCTGCAGCAGCAGGCGCCGCCTCACTGCCGGGGACTTTGCCTCTCGAGTCGTTTTCGTCGGTTTCGAGCGAGCGAAGGGGTCGGTGTCAAAGGGGTGGGAAGGGTTTCTGCCATGCGTTGGCTGCAGCTTGGTGATTCAGATGTTCGAGCAATCGAACTGCAACTATGCAAAACAACATGGGTTGTTTGGCCATTTCTGCATAAAAAACAAGGGGTGGGACCCTCACACAACCGAACGAACGAAAATCCGGGTCTCTGGGGTTGTGCGCGACCTTTCGGGAGCGTGCGGGGTGGCAAAATACTCGAACAAGGCTTGAACAAGGGAAACCACCCGACCATCAAATTCGAGGCAACAAACCATTTGTAAGGGTAGTCTGAGGGTTCAGGTGTCAATGGTTTTTTGAGGGTACCATTTTTGGGTCAAAAGAGGCAAAATGGCAAACCGACCAATTTCGAGGGTCCCCTTTGAGACAAACCCGAAAGGCGTCCTTTTACAAAACGCGAGGGCTTTGCTGCTACTGGGGCCATACTCGACAAACAAGCCCAAGTATATTTGAACCCATGGTTTTAACCCCAACGATTGACGCACGCATGGGTTGAACACCAGCAGTTCGAAGAACTATGCTCGAAACACCAATCCCCCAGACGGCAAACGGCAAAGGCCACTTTGGGCTTCTCGTACCATTCTAATGTTGACCCCATACTCATCCACCCCAGCTTCTTAATAGGGGGTGCTCCCCTCGGAAAGTGATGGTCCCCCGCTAAACCCAGGAAGAAAAAAAACGCCCCCCCTATTAATAAATAAAAACGACACCCCCAGGGCGTCCCCTTCTGAATACATATGGGGTCAGCACTAGTAGGTACCAAGCAGAACATTAAAACCAGAAGGTTGAAAAAACAAACATGGCCATGGGTCAAAAGCCCGGTTAGCCCCCAGCGAACATCACAATCCAACCACTAAAATAGGTTCTGAAATGGGTGGTGAATTCACCTACCCCAAAATGGGATCCCATTGGTTTTGACAACCACAGCCACATCTACCCACAGGGGTCAATTGGAACCGGGTCAGGTAGGGGGGACCTTTGTATTGCTCTGAAAAAACTGACAGCCCCTCTGAATTGAAGCTAAGCACCATCACCTAGCACACCTCATACAATTGGGATGAAAGCTGATAAAATTGCAATGACACCTGACAACATGGGGATGTGACCACTTAAGTCTTTTCCTTTCACTGAACATCCAGGATCTGGTTGGAATGGCTCAAGTCGCTCATTGGGAACAATTCTGTCAACTTGCGAATGGCCAAGCTACTCCTGATCCGAGACAATGGCGCAACAGCAAAACTGCGAGTTGGAGATCTACTGTTCTGAGCAAAAACAGCGCAAGCAATAGCTTGCGACGGGGCTAGACGATGGGGAAGGCACATTCTTGGCTCGAAAAAACAGCCACCAGACCTTTGGGGCAATGATTCGGATCAATGAAACACATCGTGCGCGTGTTTGACCGACAGGCACAGGTCCCACAGCTCGGCCGCAGCTTGCTGTCTCACTGAGGCGAGCGCAAACCAATTCCTTTCGGGGGCTTGTCTGCCATTCGACGCTTGCACATGGGAATCCCTCGCGGTCAGAAGCCTTTCGCAGCCTTCCATCTTGAAAAAGACCAAATGTTCTGTCATCATGCAACGTCTGGCCCACCCAACAAGCTTTGAGAGGAATCCTATGCTGAAAGTGCCAGACTTTGAGAGGGAACGCCATACATCTTCTCACCTGCCCGATTTTCCACGGAAATCCAAAAGGTGAAAAGGTTGGTTTTGGACAACTCGGTGTTTTCCTTCTTGTTTAAAGAGGCTCTTACCTAGCTCACTTGCCCTTGTGTCCCTTGGGGGGAAACAACCGGCCCGTTTCAGGCTGGTTCGTCCTCGGGGTTCCCTATCGCCATCGAACATCCCCACCAAAAAAAAACACTCCATCAACACTGGCTCAACCAAAAAAGTGATCTAGCTCTTCATCACAAAAGAATCCCCCTGCAGAATCTATATGGTCATGGGTCAAAATCCGTACCCCCAGTGAACATCCCAATCCCCACTAAAATAGACTAAAATGGGTGGTGCACCTACCCCAAAACTGGTATATACCATTAATTTTGACCCACAGCCATATCCTTAAAGCCTCTTTCAAAGGACCCCAAGGACCCAACGCCGCCTTGTGGATCGAGAGCCGAACCTTGGAGCCTTTGGGCCCTATCTTGGAGCTCGCGTGCTGCAACTCGATGACCTGCGATTTGTTTCTCACTTCAGTGGATTGATTCGCCCAAACTGGTTTTTCCACAACGGAGAAAGTGCCGGAGCTCATGCAGTGAGTCATCTGAGAAGCTGAATTATTTCAAGTGACTGCCGTGTGATCGTGAATCAGATTGGTCGTCATCCCCCGCAAGCCCATTCTAACTGTTTAGGCCCTAGCACTCTGCGACACGGAAGGAACTCCTCCTGGTAGGGACATGGGGCCCCTGTTTTGGGCGGCAGGGGTTTGCAGGAAAGCAAGTCAACATTGGGCATTCTTGGGATTCACTGAAGAGAAACCCATGCAGGGCAATCATTTGGAAGGCGATATGTTCTGACAAAGCCCCGCTCACACATGACAGCCCATAAATTTGAGAGCACTTGGTTGAATGACAACTTCGAGACGAACACATTTCTGCACTGATGGGTGGAATTGCATGAAAGAATCCCAAATAAAGGAACCTTTGTCATGATGTTCTCGTTTTGCTGGCCAGAGCTCGCTATACTTGCGTGCCTCTGATCAAGAGCACCATGCACTCCGCTCCCTGAGTTTCCTAGTCAGATCCACGAAGCTGCCAAGCAGGACAGCTCGTCTATGCTCACCTGCAAACAGGGACCTGGAAATACAAGGGATGCCTGTGCGGACCCGGACCATACCCAAAATGGAACCCTGGTAAATGGAAATATGAACTAAAACCTGCGGTCCCCTGGTGATTTAACTTTGACCCATACCCATGTAAACAGGTGGACCCACGATGGACCCAACATGGACTAAACATTGAGCCCAGCCACTTGAGATGTTGATTCGCTTTGGACTGGACAACCATTTCCTTGACTCAAAAAGCCCTGAGCGGATTGAACAAGTCCGAAAGCTTTCCTTGCGACTAAAATCGTCTTTCCGCAAAAGCTCGAGTCTGGGAACCCAGTGAGTCAATTTGCTCAGCAAAATCCATCCCGCTCTCAACCCTGCCCTCCCCGGAAATGCCAAACGTCCCTGAATGAAACCCCTGGATACATCCTGAACAGCCTTCTGACTCCTGCCGCATTCTGAAGTTCTCATTTAACGGTGAAGGTTCGCAACCCCGTCCTTTTGATTTCTTGGGACAAGCTTGGCATATCTGCCAGAGGAAACCTACCCTCTTTTCTGTTCTTTTTTTGCGGGGGCATGTTTTCCAATCTGGGTGTCAAACAGAGATACACAATTCATACACGTGCAAATGTACATCCCGGTATTCCAATGTCCGTAATGTGTCTGGACAAAATCAAGAAACACGCCTCCCCTTGGCAATTATCCCTTGGCTTCCTCTTGAACAAACCGATGCGGATACCGACATGGGCGCTCAGGCGCCCAGCCATGAGGGTCATGTTGTCGCACCCGAGGCCTTCCTCCTGCACCCGTTTTCCCGGGAGATGACCAACATCGATGAACTATCTGTGTGCTCTCAAAATCCAAATGGTCGGTTTTTTGAGGGTGCCCGTTTTTGGTAAGTTTTAAAGGGAAACCGAGAGGAAATCAACCATTTTGGGGGGTATTCCAAAAAAGACGCATCCATATCAATATACGTCCCCTCAGGGTTGACCTGGCAACTGCCTGGAATTGTCGTGTTGACCCTTGTCAGCCTTCCATGCCTCGACGTTTTGGGCAAATAGACGTTGGTAAATGATGTGAGCCAGCATTATCTATGTTCAACCTACGAGAACAGTTCGGATTTGATTTCCTTAATTAGCTTGCAAACCATGTTGGCATCCCGAGCACATGATACCCAATCACACTCCAAACAGGTTCACTATAGTCCTCGCCCAAGCATTACACCCAGTTTTGTGGAGAACCCTATTGACATCTATTGACCAATTCATCTGCGTGATGCTGACAAGCGGGAAACACAAGGACTCCATGCACCTGTGCACTTTTCGATGGGGAAACATGAACAAAGGTAGGAAGCACTTGGCTGTGGGTCAAAACTAGGTACCCAAAATGGACCCCTGGTCCAAGGGGAACCAAAGACTAAGACCTGCGGTCCCCCGGTGGTTAATTTTGACCCACAGCCACTTGTCAAAGTTATCGGCAACCTTCATGCCCTGTCCACAACTCCCGACGCAATCAACCGGATGTTGTGGCGCGTGCTGCGTATGTCGTTGAGCTGCCGATGTCCCTTCGAACAACATATGCCATGATCAAAGTCACCCCCTAAGTGGTGGGTTAAAGAGAAACAACCCCATTTTCAGAAACCGTCACAATAATGACCCCAGGTTGGGGTTCACCACTTTTGGTGGGAAACCCGCACAAAAAGGGACTTTAAGGTATGCCACTGAGTAACTATGAGCACATGAGAAACTCATGACCAGCACTTGCCTCCTCGCTGAACGTTGCCTTCCACTTTTCACCACTCAGAACACAGCACTTGACAGCTCGCTCTGCTCCTAGGATCCACGCCCGTGCCTCTCCAAGCACGGGATTTTGCATAAGGCCTTGTTTTGCATTTGCGTTTTCGACCCCTGGGAAAAATACAATATTTCCAGTAGTGATAGATTCCCTATAAAACCAACATGGGGAAAACTATTCTTAAGCAAATGGAAGTTGGGGGCTTAGTTCGAGGAAGGGCTTTGGATCCTATCCGCGGGCGCGCGTTGCCTCGCAGATCTGGGCGCGGAATTCACCTTGAGGCTCCAGGCGCGCTCACGCGATGTGACACGTGGGCACGTCATACCGCCGAGCTTCTCCGCAGGCAGCTTCTCACATCTCCAGCTCCAGCATCGAGATTCTGGCGCCGACTTTGGGCTTGGACGCTACCTTCATTTGTTGCCATTCCCTTGTGGCTGTTAATGTCATATTAATCAACTCCAGCTTATGGATAGGGGGGTGCTTTTCCCTTGGTTCAGTGGGGGATCAAACCACTTTTGAGGGGAACACCCCCAACAAAATAGGGTCAGCATTAGGGGGATTCGCATAAGAGTTGTGGATTTAGCACCGGGGTACCCTCCAAAAATGTCATTTTCCTCCGAAGACATGTTGAACACGCAGCAGCTCTTGCAGTCCGTCCACAAGTTGAAAGGCCATGAGCAGTGAACATCACGCACACTCCCCTGGCCAGCGTCAACGCACGAGCTTCTCGTCACTCCACGACAAATGCGCAGAAAGAGTTGTCCAACTAAAATGCAAATGCTGGGTAAACAACAGTTCACACAAATCTGCAATCACGAAATGTCCAAGACTTGAAACAAGGTGACTTCAGGGAAAGCACCTACATGGGGAGCTAGTTTTACCGCCAACCATTGAATTTTAGTTGCTTTCTTAAGGCCCGTCCAGCTCTGACCGCACGCATGAAACCAGGTCGAACCACCTATTGGACCAACACGCATCCAAATCTGTTGTTTGCCATTGCAAAGCCGTTCCCAACAAACATCAAGAAACCAAAAGCTCAGGGAGAAAACATTTGTCTGTGGTGCTACTCAGCCCCGTAATTTGTCTAGGGTGCGGGTCAATTGGGACGTGCCATTTTCAGTTGTTGTAGATTACTATACTTCACCAACCCGAAGGGCACTCCCAAAAAAAGAACGTTCATCATGGGTAGTTGAAGTCGGAGTTTCATTTGCGCATATGTGTTTTTGGAGTTGTTCTTACTTGCCAAGTCAGCCTGGTAGGAAAAGGAACTCCTTTTGGGGCCAATTGAAGCGAATAACTCACTAAACTAAAAGCACTGAACAAGTGAGTTTCGCTTAGGGGATCAAGGAGGAGAAAAAACGAGAAGAAGAAGCAGAAGAAGAAGAAGGAGAAGACGAAAAATAAGAAGACACCAAGACAGGAAAACCATACAAACAAATGAAGCCGCTGTGCCGTCCCGGGGCACAAAGTTGTGGTCTAGCCTGATTTCTGGATACCAAAGAGTAGCCAGCCAAAAAGGTAGAGTCACATTTTCACCAGGTAGCGCGAACATGACGGCTCCCCTTTTGGGCTTCAAACAGGTCCATGAATTCGGAGTTTTTCGCCAAAGAACCATGCAAAAAGAAGGAACTGAGGGAGTGAGGGCTTCACTGTTTATAGGCGCGACGTGGGCCTGATCAAAGCACTCACCAAAACCGACCAAGGAGGAAACAGACCTCATGAGGTCCGGAACCGTTCAATCACCGCAAAAGAAAGAAAAAACACATGCCGGACCAGAGACAAACCATCCAATCCACCAACACCAATCGGGCAAGCCCGCAGAGGCTTGACCGTCCCATCACTTGCCCAGTGAGCGCGGGGGGGGGGGGGAAATAACACGGTTTTTGTCGCCGAGTGGGGCTGGAAAATCATGATTGCTTTCCCTTTGAAACATGTCAACAAGCAAGGCAACTCAGTACCCAAAACGGACTTCCCACCTCATTGCGCACTCTGCAGGTTGAAGCCGCGCCTGAGGCTTGTCGTCAAGGGGCTGAGCCTGACCGAAGTGGGCCGATCCCCTTCCCCCCCCGCCACTTCACGGACATGTCCCAAACAAACATGTCTTCTTGGCGGTGGTCTTTAGAGTGAAACCCGGTTAAGGCAGAAACAAAAAAACAGGGCACGACGAGACCGGGCCCTCGTTTTGGGAAAGCAAGGATCTGCGGCCCTGCATTTTGAGGGCACCCAACATTGACAAGCCAACTGCAGGCTCCCTTTGAGACAAACTCCCCCTGCGCCTGGGGACACTAGCAGCTTCTCGTTCACGCCGTGCCTGTGATTGAAGCGACCACTGCCTTTTACCCTCGAACTACTGGTTGGCACATTAACAGATAAGGGGTGTGCTGTTCAAAAGGGGGCTGGTTCTGCTTGACGTCTCCGGGTAGCAGAGGGCAGTGGACACGGTGGGTTTTGGATACCACCCTCTTGGAAAAAACTCCATCATGAACCCATCCTATCCATCCGAATGAACTCATGGGTAGTCTCATGGTGCAAAAGGTCGACTTTGGGCACCTGGAGCGCACCCAAAGCACTCCGTTAGAGGAATCTCTCTTTTTGGCGGGGGGGCCCTCTACTCTCATGGCTCTTTGCAAGCAGCTGACTATTGGCCATCTCACATGGGCTTGCACCTGTGTGAGACATTCATGGATTCATGCGGCAAAGGCGCTTCTCCATAGATTGCTTGACCTCGGCTTGCAACAAACGCGGTCCACATGGCGGGTTGCTCTACTGACCCACAACCCCAAGGCGACTCTAATGCTGTAGCAGGTTGCTCACAAGGCACAGGAACCAAAGTCACAGTTTCGCCCCGGACAGCAACACCTGCAAACAGTTGCAAGCTTGTTCAAGGTCGGAAAAAAACACCCAAACACAAAGGGAAACGCGTGTAGCTAGGCATGCGGCCGCGAAACTTAGGTTTGATCTCTAACTTTGCTGGCCCTGCGAGAAAAAAACACCGTATCTTACCCGCTTGAGCTCCAATTTCCAGGAGAAACGACGTCCATCCTACAAAGGCCACAAGACATGGAGATTCAGCCACGGCCGTTCCAAGTCCATCACTGGAGAACTGGGCACGCAAAAACAATAGTGTGTCATGAACTTCCTGCAGCCGGGTTCATTTCACGTGTACAGAAGAACAGGAATGGCCATTTCATGCGAAAAGGGACGATCTACACGGGCATTGTGTGACAACAGAATGAGAAGCAACTTGAATGCAGGCAAGCATGATAAGGAATTATTGATTTACGTGGCGCCTTCTCAATACTTCTCAACTAGGCGGACACAGGGCCTTTGCTTGAGAGGAACATGCAATCCAAATGGAAAAGGGGCGCTGAGCAAAATTAGCATATCGTCTCAGGGCTGTCTGCGAATCCCAGTGTCTGACCATTTCTAGCCAGCAACTTTCTCACAATACACGTTCCCGAAATGGACAAGCAAGAACTGGCGAGTTCCATGGGTTTTATGGGACATCTCATCTCAATTGAGAGAGAGAGAGAGACAGAGAGGAAAAGAGAGAAAGAGGAAAAAATAGAGAGCGAGACTTAAGAGGTGAGCCGCCTGCTTCCCCCATTCAGAGACCCAACCAAATGTAGAGGTTGTGGGGGAGTCCTTCTGGGCCTTATCAACATGGCTCATCTCAGGAGGGAACATGTTGACCCCTGAAGATCTCCTTGTTTGGGCTTCTTCTGTGCGTTGAGCACTCCCCCTTTTGACATGGGGGGGCAGAATCGGTCGGAGTTGGTGGGTTGTGTTGCACAAATGTAGATGGAGTTGAAAGCAAACCACATCAGTTTGTTTCAGTCTCAGGTGTAAAACTCTCAAGCCTTTGTGTGAGCTTTGGTCTATGGTTCTGCTTTGGCTTCTTTTGAAGCAAGCACCGAGAATCACACAAGAGCCACACGAGTTTGCAGTGCAAACCCTTCGAGTGGGGTCGAACATCACCCCACCAATGGCCGACATGCTAAGCACCCCAAAACCATGGAATGCAGACTTGTTAGGCGCCTTCCCCCCCCCCCCCGACCCAAGTCCTCCCCCTTCAACCTTTTGACTTCTCTTCCAAGGATTTGTTACAGCCCCTCAAAGAATCAAACGCCCTTCAGCAGGTGCCGGAAAAGTGAGGTTCGGTCGCCCTTTGGTTGATTTACTTTTCCCTTTTTGCTCAGAAAATCAAAACCCCTTGTGGCTTCCCTTGAACCAGCCACAAAAGGCTCCTGGGCTTGATGTGTTTTACAGAGAACCCCCTTTGGACACCCCCGAAACCCACATGAAAAAAACGCGTCCCCCGGAAAGGGCGAACCCGGGCAACTGAATCAGACCATGTCAGGGGGCTTCTCCTACAAAAAGACGAGCCACTTACATGGGTCAAATCCAGTACCCGCAGTGAACATCCCAATCCCCACTCAAATAGGTTCTACAATGGGTGGTGCACCTACCCCAAAGTGGTACCATTGGTTTTGACCGACAGCCACATCTGGCATCTGGCTTCAAAATGGGGATCCCTGAAAAAGGGCTTGGGGGGGGGGGATTAGGGGTTGCTGTGGTTCCCTTGTTGAAGTGGACCCAAACAGGAAGTCCTACCATCCCCATCCTTCAGTGCCAATCATAATTTCACTCTAGACCCTCCCTCGAATCCATGAAAGGGTCGGATGTGCTTCCCTATCGAGCGGCGCCTCCCGAACTCCCCGCCCTCGAGGCCCGGGCAAAGCCGCAGGCCTTCAGCTCCTCCACCACCTCCGCCACCCACTGGGCCACTTCCGGGCCGCGGCTCCGCGGCGTGCCCACGGCCTCCGCGACCCAAGGGAACCCGAGGGAAACCCAAGAGAAACGAAAGGGAAACCCAAACCCCCAGGAAACCCAGGGAAACCCAGGGAAACCCAAGCAAAACCCAGAAAACAAGGGAACCCAAGGAAACCCAAGGAACAAAAACACAAGTGAAAACCAAGGAAAACCAAGACCAAGGAACATTTTCCAACCAAAGGAGATAGGGCAGATTTGGGTGGAAGCCAAAGGACAGCTACCCAGTTAGGGGCTACCCCTATTTTGAGACAAACCTATTTGGGACTCTCGAAAGTACTTATTTGCTCAATATTTTTTGAGGGGGTTCCGCAAAGGACCGTCCAGTGGTAACTTTGAGGATGTCACTTCAGTTGGCTCAGGAAAAATGGAGGACTCGTCTGAAGTTGGGGGGGCACGGTGCCATTCGTCATTGGGTGCAAAAAGGGGAGACCCTGCCCACTCATCGCAGGGACGCAATCAGGGAACTGCTTCACGGCTTCTTGGTGTGAGGTGACAGAAACTATTTGGATAACAGATCACACAAATCCAAAGAAGGGATAGAACACGAGGCTCCTGAATGCGTCTCTTGTCTTGCCAAGCTCCAGGAATACATTTGGAAATATAGGGGCCCCTGCATGATTTCCCTTGTACCCACCTTTCGGACAAATCGGAGGTACGTTTCCAAGAACTTGCATTTGCTTAAGTCCCCGGGGAAAAACACTACATCCAGTAGTGATAGATTCCCTTTGAAACTAACAGGGGAAACTAACACATATTCACTTGCTGGTGCACAGAAGGGAATGACCCAGGGTTTTGGGAATGAACCGGAAGGGGATTCCCTTAAAGGAAACCACAGAAGCTGGTTTGTCTCGGGGTCATGCCACTTCTCATTCCCGCCTATCGAACCAGCAAGTTAAGCAACTGGGGGAACATATTCCAATAGGCTAAAGTTGCTGGTAAATATGCAAACTGGCAAATATTCCTTAAGAATAGCCTATCGAACTTAGCAGCTTGAGCAACTGGCTAAATCTGCAACCAAATAGCAAAGAAAGGACTGAGGAAAGCTGCAGACACACGCCCGCCCGCCTGTCTCACCTGAGCATGCGCTGCTCCCCAAAGAGGAGTGGGTCTTCCTCGCCCTGAGAAAACATGAATGTGTCGGAGGTTCAATGGATATCCAATTTCCAAGAGACCTGATAAGTGGCCAAGGATCAATAAAGCACAACGAAACAAGAGCAGCACTTCAACTCAAGCTCCACCAGACTTTCTCTAGTCTAGTGCATTTCTCGTAGCAAGAACTTGTCGCAGTGGAAACTCGAGGAAGAACTGAGTGGCAGCTGATGTGGCATCGCTTCACACAACTGTTGCATCAGAACTCAATTTGTTTGGTCGTCGGGCCCATAGCCGCTATGCCAATGTTCGCTTCATGACTCAAGGACTTTCAGACTTGAGACCTCGATCTACCCCCTTTTCGTCTAGTCTGATCACATGCATGATTGTGTTGTCGAAACTGTTCCAGTGTTCGCGCGCGCCAGGACTCAACCAAAACATCTGATTTGCGCCCATCTGCGCCCTCTTGGCAGCTCACTCTTGCTCGTGCGATCTGCGAGTTTCGGTCTCTGCAAAATCACAAAAGGAACTCCAAACCAAACGGCCAACACACGATGGCTCTTTGCGCTCAGAGTCCAAAGGACATCTCTGGCGGTGTTGCAACCAGGTCGCCGTCATGAAGCTGCCCTCCAGGATCCTCCCCTGCGATCACTAGCATCAGCTTTTGCTACCCAACCTCTCTGGACCATACTTGGCCTTGCCATTTTAAGTAATATGGCTATGGGTCAAAACCCCGGTGCCCTGGTGAACATCCAGAAAGCCTTCTAAAAAGACAACAGTGGAGTGGTAATTCTCCCCAAAAAGGCACCTGAATTAGGCTTTGACCCACAACCATATCCCTTCCCAGGTCCTGCTTCGGAGGTACCATATGGCACCAGCATCTCAGCTTTCGTGAAGCCACGCATCGAATGCTTGGTCCATGGCACAACTCCACACACCAAACGATATCTTCATCTGCTTCATTCGGCCGAGACCGCAAGTAAACCTTGAAATGTAGAATCATTTAAAAAGACATCCCATGGACTGATGGAGCTTCCTACATCATAACCCCAAAAAGAGGAAACTCACCTTCAATTTGTCCAACGATTGATGTTTGAACTTGATTTAGAGCGAACAAATAGGGGCCCCTGTCGCAAACAAGTTGCCAACTCGGGCCGAAATCGGCTATTCCATGCCAGGTCGGGCGTGGCAAAACTGGCGTGTCCGCGCCTTAGGCACCCGCTGCACATCGGAGAGGAGACGTTCCTTGAGGCTTGCAAGGACATCCACCTCGAGATTCGGGTGAAGTGGGAATGTGGTACTTTTGTGAGGGTACCCACATGGAAGGAACCAAACAAAGATGCACATTAGTAGGAATGAATCTCTTGGGACCTGGAGGGTCTTCTTCATTTGTGCGGGGGAGAATGTGTCAAGTCATGGCAAATCAGGGATTTCGACTCCTACTACGGTGGCTTTCCTGTTGGTTTCCCTTTAAACCAACTGGCAAAGAGTACTTTAAACAGGATAGCCGCCCAATCGTCAAAAGGAAGCATGGTCCGCTCTCGGCGGTGCTTCTCGGGTTCCAATGCGCAGAGGATTCAGTGCTGCTGATTTTGCAGCCCGTTCCGCCAAAGCCTAATTCAAACCGGCACTCGAGATCGAGGGCCAAATCTGATGGGGTGCGTGGCTTTTTTTTTTTTTTAATTCCTTTTTTTTTTTCTGGGGCAACTCTTGGAAGCAGAAACAACTCCCCGTGACGAATGCCCTCCGTTGGAGAAACCCTTCACGCTGGAGTAAATTGGGGGCTCGATTCCGAGGGCCCCTCTTAGGAATCTTTCACCCAGCGCCTCGTGCCCATGCGAAAAACAGGCAGTTTTGGTAGGTGATATTTCAGGGAACCCCTCGAAAGAGGTCTGGGTTCAGGTTTCATGCCTTTTTGTGGAGGGCAGTTGGCTTGCGATCGGATCGCACCCAGCCTTGCCCTGCACAAGCAGCTCCAATGCTTCGTCCATAGTAGGGACCTCCCGACTGCAGAACTCTGGCGTTGCAAACATGCAGTCTCTTGCTGGTGCGATTGGCAAGGAATGAGAAATGGCATGACCCCGAGAAAAACCATCCCCTATGGTTTCCTTTTAGGGAATCCCCAAGTTCATTCCCTCATTCCCTACTGGGCAAGCGCAAGTTAACATCACGAGCTCAAGCACGAGTCATAGTTTCCATGGTGATGTCCGGTGAATCGATTTACGCCGTGGTCCAACCGCTTCCATCCCACGTGTTGCCAATTTGAGCTGTTGCTGGCCCAGCTCAGGGAGCAAGGGAACGCCGATTTGATCCAAGCCCTTGCAGTACGGCAAGTTCACTCATGGCCGCAAGGGTACACTTTGATGGAACTCAGGGGCGCTTCCTTGATGCATCCTTCACCTTCAAGTGGAGTGCGGGGGTTGGGGCCCCGAGGGTATCCGATACCCTGTTTTCTACACGTCCCCCTGCAAGCACGTGAAAGCCCATCAGCCCATCCCGAAAGCTGCCTCGGATATAACCACTCGAATGGCACACAGAATCCATGGAGTGGCACACAACACCTGTTGACTTTTGGTTCTACTAACATGGTTATAACGGTGATTCAAGGCCTTGGAAACGTTATGAGACCAGGTACCACCTAAAACAGCTCGAAGATGCCACTACCAGACCTCACGGTCAAACAGGACGCCCCTTTTGCAGGAGCTGGCTTTAAAGGGACCCCCCCCTCTGGTTTTCATGGGGAAGAGTCCCAAGCCTCAAAAGGCGTGGGACATCACCCTCTGATTCAAACTTATCTCAGCCTGCAGCAGGGTGGCATTCTGGATGTTCTTCTCCAGCCAAAGCCCAAAGGCTGATCCCCCAACGCTGGCAATGCGCACCTTGCTGGCGATGGGTCTGATCTTCACATCCAGGGCTCGTCTTTTCACATGGAAGCCACATAATTTTTGAGGGCTTCGGCCCCTGGGCCCTTGGGCTTTTCCCTTGACAACCATCAGCGAGCAGGTATCGTCCACAGCCATGCCAGCAATTTCTCTGATTTCTGCCAAACTGGCCTTGTTTCTTGGATCGGCCCAAGATGAAACTCGTTGCTTGCCACTGAAATCGTCCAACCCAAAAAAGTATCCAGCGACCAACTCGAGCGAGCTGGGCCAAAACACGAAAAGACAACGAGAAACAAGCTAGGGCTGGGCTAGGGGCCATTCAATCCGGCGATACTCTCCAGTCCAGGTGAAACCCAACAACTTCTGACAACCCTCGTTTGTAGAGTGATCTGCTTGTGGGGCACGCCCTTTTTGCGGTTCCATGTTGATTTGTAGAGTACACGACACTCATCAAATCAAGGCCACCAGCTGATGAGGTCATAGGTCTTTTTCAATTGAATGGCATGGTGCCACCCACCGAAGTACACTTGGACCAAGTTTCACCTACACCTGCAAGAAAGCACACACACACACACACATCCCTTTTTGGAGCCATTCTAGAGGCCACCAAAAAAAGCAACACGGGGAACAGGTTGACGTCCGCTGAGCTCCTCCCCACAAACATCTGCATGTCCGAGGTCGCAAAGAGATTGCCCTGGGCGCGAAAGAGAATGAAAGACCGGCCCTTGAACATCCACAGAGTTGCTTAAAATCTCCCGGGACAAGGGTAGACAATTGGTCCCTGAAACTCAGGTCTGTAGATTGGCCAACAAAAAGACAAAGCTCTTGTTGGCACTGAACCGGTCCTTTCCCATAAAATTCAGGAGCCGGAACAAACAGAGAACAAATCGACCCTTTTGGAGGGGTACAGCTCTCTGCGAGTCGTTGAACCAAGCAGCTCCCGGGGAATCCACCTCCGCCTTTCTGGTCCTCGCTGCAAAGACACGTCGAGTAGTTTGGGCTCCCCCTTGAAGTGGTTGCGTGTTGAGCAGTCTTAATGGGCCTTTGGGTTGTTGGCCTTTGGGTGTGGAATATGTGGAATGGGTTCATACTAAAGAGCGCCAACGCTACTTTCTCGAGAGACAGGATCTTGCCTGCTGGTTTCTTTTCAGCGCGTGCAGGGCTGGGGCTTTGCGGCGCACACCGCGAAGCCACCTCGTCATATGCACAGGCCGTGTGTAAAAAGCTGGACCTGCTGAGAAGGATATCGGATTGAACATGAACCTAGAGGTTTCCATGTTGGCTTTCACCCAAGTTGCCCAGAAAGGTGGACCAAAATTGGAATTGATTCTTTGTTGGGTTGACCATTTCGGTTAAAACTGGGATCTAAACGGGTTTGGAATCTGCTGACTGGGTGAGACCTCGAAATCCATTCGTGACTGTGTCTCAAAGATTGGTGCCAAGTTCACAAAAGTCGGCTTGCAAATCTTGCTCTTCTTTTCGCAAATATGTTCGCCCTATCTGAACGTTTGCTTTTTTGGCTTCTACTGTTGGCCGAAAGGGAAACAAAGGGAAACCCACCAGGCGGTTGAAACCGAAGGTGGACATCAGGGCCTTGAGCTCGTCCTCTCCCGATTCTGATTCCAAGCCAAGGGTCAAGTTGGACTCACCCGGCACAAGGTACATAGCAGGGATGTCTGCGTAGGGCGCGCTGAAGGCAATCCTCAGAGACAGAAACCACATCGCTGAAAGCAACGGTTTCTGCAGATGCATTAGCCTGGCACCAACTGATGTCCCCCAAAAAAGCGGCTTTGTGTGTTCCATTCTGACCTGCCGGAGTTCATACCTGGACACCTAGCTGACTGATACTCAGCCCTTGCGTCAATTGACCGTTGGCGGGTGTAACCCATATTGGCGGTTGTGAAATACTACCCTCCCTTGCGCTTCCATAGCTCCTGTGGGAGGTGGTAAACAAACAGTTCAGACTTTGTAATACCCAACCACTCGCTTTCTTAGTTTGAGGGGACATGATACTTTTTGAGAAGATCCGAATGGTGGTAAAGAAAAAGTTTAGACTTTTTCGGCCTATTCACTTCGGAAGTGAGAAAATGCGGATTTCAGCGGTAGGTTTTGTCATGTCCCCTGTTGCTGGTTTCCCAGATAGGCATTGGGCAATGTTGGCTTCGCCTTCGGGAGCGCAGAGGTTGCTCAGGAGGGTTTCTCCAAGAATGGCGTATTTGGACCAACGGGCCAACCCAGAGATTCGGAGAGGTCTAGAGAGCTATCCCATAGCTGGAAATGAGTCGTATGGTTTGTAGGTGTGGAGTGGATTTATTCATTCCTGGTGCAGAATGTTGTCCACAGGCAATCATGTAGCGACTCTGCAATCATTCAAGCTGGCTGTTTGAAGACAGCAGTCCTTTTGTACATGGCGCTTTCACGAGCTTCAGTTGTCCGACCCTCAGCAGCATTTTCCCCTCCCGACGAGGCTTCTCATACTGTCCCTTCCGGTTTTAAAGTTCACCTGGGCCTTTGTTTTTCCGTGAGTTTCCTTTGGGGGTTAGGAGAAACATGGCCATGGGTCAAAACCCGGTTAGCCCCCAGTGAACATCCCAATCCCCACTAAAATAGGTTCTAAAATGGGTGGTGCACCTACCCCGGAATGGTACCATTGGTTTTGAACCATGGCCACATGGGGACCCTCTGTGGGATTGCACATGGTTTGTGTGGAGCATCACGTTCGGGTGCCTGGCCGCGATCCGAGCTACCCTCCCGATTTAGGAACTCACTTTTTGAACAGACCCAGAGGCTAATTCACTTGGGAGGTGATTGGATGATTGCCACCCCTTGAAAATGGAGGGGGGTCTGTTTTACCTCTTATGGGGGGGGCGTCTAGATAAACAGACTTCTGATTTGCCAAACTGATATCCAAATCTCACAGGTGCGACACTCGCCAATCAAACAGCTTGCTTCAACTGCTACATTTGCAGATAGGATGCACACACACACACATTGGTGTGGGCTGAGAACTGTTCAGCCTAAAGTTGGATTTGTCTTGCCTGGTCAAAGGCACTTCAATCCCCTCTTGTTGACTCGACTCTGCTTCGCAGCTTACCTGTTTTAACGCTTCTCCTTTTTAAGTGTTCCTTCATGTTCCCTTGCAACCAGCAAGTGGGGAGTCGAGCTACCCTTCCGAGCATGTCGATGCGGGAAGCAACAAGTTAACTTTTTGCAGGGATTCTAAGTCTGGCCAAGAAGGACAGAGATATCCTCACTCTCACTAGAAGTGGCACTTGACAGGGGGGTCTCTACAAGTGGCAAATGATATATGACCTTTCGGGCTAAGCTCAGGAAGTGAGTTTGTTGGGTGGGTGGGAACTCCAGGTCCCGGAATCTCCCGCTGTTCGTTTCGCCGGCTGCCACGATTTTTTTTCTCGCTTCCACGGGGCTTGGCTTCCCGCTGCGGCTCAGCACCCACCAGCCCGATGTCCCATGATCCTCGGCGGGTTTCGCGGGGTGTCGGGCTGGAACCGGGCACAGATGTGGACCCCTAAATTTCATAAAATAGTGGTGTTCCATAAGGGGTTTTACATTAAAATCGAACAAAAGGGGGGGGGGGGGTTCAAAGAAAAGGACACACCCATATAGCGCGATAAAGCCTGTAAATTGACAGTTTGCAAGTTTGTAACCCTTTTTAGGCCGCCAAGCACAGGCCAGATTCCTGCTTTCGAATCCAACATAGTTCTCCAGTTTGGTTCACAAATGGTGCTCACAAGTCCGAGGCAAAATATGAGCAATGTGGATCTTGGCAAATTACCAATTCACAAACCTGTCATCAGGCATCTTCAAGGATCCTTGATGGGTGACCTCGTTTTACGGGTGAGCTGGCTATGATTTGTTCAGAGGTTTGCTTCCGAAGCCAGGTCACGGGAAGATTGTACCCCCCATATGTGGGACAACGGAAGTGGGACCCCTGGGTTTTGTGAGAAAGCTGTGTGGGACCCGGGTTTTTCAACTTGTGTGCACCCCCGCCCTGTTTCCTAAGGTGAATTGCGTGGAAGCCGTTCCTGTCTGTTGCTCAGAGAAAACATCCCAACATCCTCGGATGGGTGGAAATCCAGTGGATGTCGCGTGAATGGGAGCCCTCCCTGTTAACCCCTGATTTCCCCTGCAAAACAGAAATCTCGCACAATCCAGAACGGAGACCTTGATGATATCAGCTGCGGGTTTCAGAGAAGTCCACATTGCATGACCGCAAAGCCACCTATCATCCCCCAAAGCTGTCTTTACAAAGGACGGCTGCTGGGGTGGCCTGGCTGCATGCTTGAAGCAAACAAAACCTGGCGGGAACAAGCAACATTCACGGACCTCGTCATGTGCTGGCTCTATACAGCGAACAGTCTCGACAATCACCTCCCAAACAGACTGCATGTTTGCTGCAGGATTGAACGAACCTCACTGAGCAACATCCGTAAGACACTTACCGAGACATAGCATTCCTTGGTGTCAGGTACAAAGCTCTCCCCTTATCGAATTCTGAGCAGGGCTGACACCAGCTACGTGTATCCAGGTTCAGGGTCGTCCACTAGACGAACTGAGTTGTTCAAGACTGGGGGCTACCCTAATTAATCCAAAACCCATCATCCGTAGTGGGACACCACCACAAAATAGAAAGTTCGTCTTTTAGGGTGACTAAACATAGAAAAAAAGAGGAAAACCAAAAGGTCCTTTCAGGTCCATTCGCTTTGGACAAGGAAGACTATCCATCTGGCATAAGGATTACAGACCGTTTATCTTGTTCAGCGGAACCTGGGCAAGTGCAGGCCCCAACTCCTGGACTGAGAGCCAAAGCTTGGGACGTGATGTTCCATTGCAACAAGACCAAGCACCATAGGATTAAATGGATTTGTCTCCAAAACACAACAAACCAAACATGATCCAAAATGAGTGCTTTCCCCGTGGTTTCCCTTTAGCGCAACCCCAAAACAGGTATTTGCCGCCAAGAAAACACACTCAGATTGTTGTGAGAAAACAATGCAGAATTTATGCAATGAATGTAACAAACACCCGCTTGCCACGCTGCCGGCATCCACAGCATCGGCCAGCTCCTGAGTGAGGAGTCAGGTTAGCCATCGGTTGCAACTCTAAGGAGCTCGTTGCCTGGTCTGTTCATCCCGAAAGAAACCATCAAAAGGTTCGCATGTACAGGTTGAGCTCACATGCTACTCATTACACATGCCAGCGGGCCTAAGCACAAACAGCACTAATGCAAGTACATTGAATTCTGTATCTCTCTCTCCATCTCTGAAACCCAGGCCACGCCTTGGGGTGGTTGAAGGCCACGTACTGCACCTCCACCCCCAAGCGCTTGGCGATCTCCGCAGCCACATCTGGGGAGACACCTGGACCACTTGCCGCTACCCATCCCTTTTCGTGCTACAAAATAAATTGTGGCAGGCATTACTTGAAGCAAATTAAATGAACATACCAGTGTTTGCAAAACAAGGGTTCAGCAAGTAAACACAGCCAACCATGAAAACAACGTCCCAACATGCGGGGGGGTCTTTTTGCCGCCGTTTGTGAGAAAATGGGCGACCCCCTCAAAAAGGAATCCTTCACCACAAGGGGCCCCTGCCAACATGTCTGGTGCTCGTCGAAGTGAAGCTGACCAGCTAAAAGCGGCACCGGGGCTGTTCAACCCTCACCGGACCACACGCCTGTGCATATATGAACGTGTATAAACATAGATATGCATATGGCTTTGTTTTTGCAAGGTGGGATCCTTTAAATTCCCCGGGAACCTGAAGCATACCCATGGAAGACACCCATATTGGCTGGGATTGGGTTCGTTTGACTTGTTCCGCACAAACCCAAGAGGTCTCCCTCGACTCACTCAGTGGGTCACCTCATGGGACAAATGAATGACTTCTCTTTCCTTTGGCGGGTAATTACCCTTTTGGGGTGGCTTCAAAAACACAGAGGGGACACCCACCATGGCGAGAGTCCCCGATTTGTGATCCAAATTTAGGCGTCTCTCTTTTCAGGGGACCCTAAAAATAAATGGTCGTCGTGCTTTTGGTTTTGGCTTCCGCATAAATCCGCCAAACAAGGGGCGCCCCCCCACAAAAGACGCACCCATTTAAGGCATCTGTTTTGGTGGTTTCGATCCATCTGGTCGCACCTGCCGGCTCCGGGTCCCTGCCAGTGACCAGCAGGAAATTGGCCAGGTTGATGCCAGCCTGAGCTCTCGTTTGGCTCAGGGCTGGTTGAAACACTGGCTGAACAATTGAGCACAAGCAAGCGTGCCTCAGTCAAAGGTTCAGAGTCTGTGTGAGTGCTGCAAGTGCTGTGCTTGCGCAGCAAGGCGCCTACTTCTTTTGTCATGGCTATGAATTTCAATGGGGGACCCTCAAAAGTGGTTGGCGGGCATAAATCCCTACCCAAATGATGTCCACCAAAGGACCTTGCGGACCTCCTTCAAGTCGGCATCTTTGCTCTCGGATGACTAACACGACACACCACCAGTATTTCTTGATTCGCCAGTCAAACACAAACTCACACACACACACACACACACACACGCCCACAGCACACACACACACACACAAGCACGCAAGCGCACACACACAAACACAAACACGAACCCGCAATCCAGCCCCAAACCCAAGCAATCTAGAAAAAAACAACACGTATCTAACGCGGCTGCAAATCTGCACAAAGCCCTCGTGGCAAACGGCTTCCCTCAGTTCTAACCTGGTAACCTGCTTTGCACTTCAGATTGGCTGAAGCGTCCATTGCCAAGGCTTGTCAAGAAGTATAAAGTCAAAGAACTCAAGGGCGTGGCTTGGGAGGTCCCCTCATCCCTCCCATCTGCCGGCCAGTAATTACTTGGTTGAAGGCTTCCTTCATTTTGGGTCAAGATTCAACACCAAAGCACTGCAGGTTTTCGGCCATGTTTCCATCTACCAGGGCATGCCAACCCATTTTGGGGGTTCCCTATTTTTGACCCACCCACCGCCAGTTCCCGTTCACATCCGCTTCCAACCACATTCCTCGCCCCGGCGCCCTCAACTTTCCAGTGGGCGCCAGCTGCCGTTGCAGCTCGCCCAGTTCCATGGCGTGCTTGGAGGTTCGTTCCGTGTAGGGCAGGAGAAGCCCAAGCAAAGCTCCAG